GTGAAAAATAGAGTTGAGCGTCTATGGGTGTGTGCGCGTGAGTCACTATCTCCCCACACATATATGTATATTGTTGCCCCTGAGTGTGCGAGCGAGTGTGTCTCTCACAACCAGCACATCTCGCTATTTTATTTAGAATGAGGCATATAGAGAGTTTGTCACACTCATATATAATCTCTAGAGTGATAGACAATAATTCTTATAAATAAAGATTTTTCTCAAAAAAATGATATCTTAAAAATATTAGTGTGTGTGTGTGAGAGATATACACATAGACACTCACACACTGGGGCGGATATATATATATATATATATATATATATATATATATATATATATATATATATATATATATATATATATATATATATATATATATATATATATATATATATATATATATATATATATATATATATATATATATATATATATATATATATATATATATATATATATATATATATATATATATATATATATATATATATATATATATATATATATATATGTATGAGATTTCGATTCTCGATCCAATTTTAATTTACTTCAAATTCGGCCAATTTTCAATATAATATTAAAAGTCGAATGAGTTTTTTCATTCTAATTTCTAAAATTCCGATATTTTTTTCCTTCCATTTTTTGGGACCATAATTGAATTAGTTTTCACTTCCAAACAAATGGAATTTGCAAAGATTGGTAATGCCGATTCAATTTTGATCCGCACGATTTCCACTCGTAGATCAAACACATGCACCCGGAGATTATACGAAGACAATGAGTTTAAAAATAGAATAATCACTTAAAAATTTTATGATTATCATATTTCATATATTTTTTTTATCGACATAAAGAATAAAATTATAAATAATTTTATTATTTGTCTTGTGAAATATGCTCGACCTATCATTTTTTTCTCTTTTTACATGAAAATTTTATTTGTTTATAATTCATAAAGCATTTAAAGAAATGATGTAATTGAAATCTTAAATGCTAATCCAACATTCATGCTTAAATCAAATGTAACCTTGTAAACATGAGTACATATGAGATTGAGAATGCAATCTATAAGAAAGTGTTTCTGGATTTGAAGCACAAGTCTGCCAAGTTCCGGAAGCGACCCGGCTTCTATTCTCGTTGGGATTGGATATAGATGGGGAATCTATAGATCGTAGTAGTTCGTCAACCTCTCTAACTAACATACAATACAATTTCACTTCACCGCACGGCCATAAAAAAGAGCTTCACTCGGTTGGCCTTCCTACAAATCGGTTTCACTCGTTCCATTTGAAGTTGGTTATCCCTTAAAGATTTAGTTTCCTACTATAGTATGGCATGCAAAAAGAATGCAGTTCCATCTAGTGTAGCAAGGGTTATTTCTATGCTACACCTGATGAAGGTTCGGGTGATTTTTTACCGTTGATCTACACACACCAATATAGATGTGTGTGTGTGTTTGTGTGCTTATAAATGCTAAAGATCTACCCGGTGTAGCATAGAATAAACCGTGCAACAAGATGTAAGGAAAAAAGATGCCAAATATACATTAAATTGAAAGTCCAACCATTCCACTATTACATCAAAAGCAAATTAAATCCCACACTTTACAACTTCATCAAAAGCAAATCTTGTGTTCACTCTCATTTTCCGGGCACAAAGTTAGTGGCGAAGGCCCAAGCATTGTTTGCAACGGGGTCGGCAAGATGGTCAAAAAGGTTCTCAATCGGACCCTTTCCGGTGACAATCGCTTGGACAAAGAACCCAAACATGGAAAACATAGCCAATCTCCCGTTCTTGAGTTCCTTAACCTTCAACTCAGCAAAGGCTTCCGGGTCCTCGGCTAGACCCAACGGGTCAAAAGACCCGCCCGGGTACACCTTGTCGAGCCCCTCTCCTAGTGGGCCCCCTCCAACTCTGTAACCCTCAACAAAGCCCATTAGCACAACTTGGGTGGCCCATATGGCCAAAATGCTCTGTGCGTGGACGAGGTTAGGGTTTCCCAAATAGTCGAGCCCACCTTCGGAGAAGATCTGTGACCCGGCCTTGAACCACACTGCCTCTCCAAATTTGACACCGTTCTTTGATAGAACCTCTGGGAAGACGCATCCCAGAGCGCCGAGCATGGCCCACCTACTGTGGATCACCTCCAGCTCACGGTTCTTGGCGAATGTCTCGGGATCTGCCGAGAGCCCAGCAGTGTCCCATCCGTAGTCACCGGGGAATTCACCGGTGAGGTACGATGGGGTCTGCTCGGAGAATGGGCCCAAGTACTTGGGCCTGTCTTCTCCGTACCTAAATCATCAAGATATATAATAAAAATTATAGTAAATTACACATTATTATTATTAGATGAAACACATAAATTTTACATGTTACACTAAATCAAACCATATTTTTGAAACTGTACCTATTTTCGATAAATTGAGATATATAATTAATTAATAATAAATTTACCGAATTGCGGAAATTATACCATATGCTCTGAGGGGCGCTCTTGACGGTACGTCTCATGGTGAAGCGGCCGCCGCCGACGTTGCCGATCTTCCTGATCAGCTCATTTTGTGGCTTCAAAGCAGTCTTCCCACTGAATGCAGATTGTTGAATTGCTGAAGTTGCCATTTTTTTTTTTTGTTTTTTTTTTTCTTTTTGTTGCTAATTGATTTTGTTTGTTGTGCTCGATGGTGGTGAGGAATAAGGGTGGTGCAAAGAGGGTATAAATAGAAGTTGGGATTATGTTGTGGATTGCAATATCTACACGTCAGCATTAGCTGATTGGTTGGTTTTGGTGGATCAAGATTTCCCTCCAGATTTTTGTTTAAAGAGAAGTCTAGGTCTTCATTTGGCCATGTGGCATTGGGAATTCTGATTTGGAGTTTTGTTGCTAAATGTAATCCATTCTCAGCCAATTAAAGTGCCATGTCACTTGGTGCACGAAAAACACAGTCACACACACAATGGCACAACACATTCCACAAGCACACATTTAATTTAATTCCACTGAAAAATATGGGAAATCCTATTCTGCTTATTTTCTTTTTATATGGGACTTATGAATATTTATTTATTTATATAATTGTCAATATCAATATTGGATCAAAGATTGTGTGTCATTCATAATATCAATCTATGTTTTAAATTTTAACTATGGTTGGTTGGACTGTTTATTCATTATGATTTATAAATATTAATACACATAACTTACCACTGACAAATTATCATCAATTTGTGCACAAAATCCTCTTTTAGGTAACTAATTTCTGCACGTTTACGGTTGATGAATTATTCGCCTTTTGGCTTACAAAATTTCACCCGGCAAAGTAAATAACAAGATGTCACACATAATACTCAGTATTAGATAATACCAATTCTCCTACTTACAGTTGGTTAGAGAATAAATATATCTATCATACAACTTGTATCTCGATGCAGTATAGCATTTCTCAGGTACAGAAACTTCGACTTAAACGACATATTAAAAATTGTTTTCCGTTTCATGCTATCCATACAAGCTTACACATCTAGTACCCAGCAACAGCAATTTTGACAGCTACAATCAAGAACATGAGAATTGCTCTTTCCGTTTCGTTGAGCCTTTTTTTACCATGATCATGTTTTTAATCTAATCAATCTCGTATATCCACTTCAAAATTCCAGAGTTCGAGAATTCCAGAAAATACTACACCCCCTCGCAATTAAAGAGACTCTTGAAAATACTACACAAGTCAAATAAACCCATACCTTATAACAATTATTTCACTCCATGGGATAATCATCTTCGTAGTCCGTTCCAGTGGGACCCACCGAAAAACTGCCATGCATAATCGCCATCACCATCAGTTTCCCTGCATCTGGGAAATCTTTGTGCTGTCTGAGAACAGCTTCTACAGAGTGTTCGGTACTTTCTTGGCTCAGTGGAAGAACTTGTTCGAATTTAACATCAAGATTTTCTGCCACTGGCCCATAACACTTGCTGGAGGCTTGAAAAAGTATTGTTTCCTTAAGAATGTCCACAGTCGTCTCGTCGCTCCATCCCTCGGTCATAGACATTTGGTACAGTTTTTCCCAATCATCTTGATTTGCAGCGTTCCTCCAGCATTCTTCCAATAGGTTCGTATTGCTTCTAAGAAAGGAGGCACTGGTCCATGAGAAAAGATCAAAGGCTCGTAATGAAAGATCCCGTGTTTGGATTTTGAGACACAATTCGATGAGGTCAATTGGAGGAAGAAGCTTCTCTTCAATTGATTGTTTTTCCTCGTTATCTGGTGTTTGCCTCAATATTTCTTCCTGTAAGACACGGAAGTTAGTCTGAATGAAAGTTCTTGTAATTCTGAAAAAAGCGAAATTGTGCTATTTAAGGATTTTAATCTCCAGGCCAGGGCCTGCATTTAAATACAAATCTCAATTTTCAAATGTCCATTTGTAAGCATAAACTATAAAGAGAACAAATGGAGTGATAATAAAGGACAGATGAATATGTCACGTTGAGAAGCGATGATAAGGCTTTGATCAAATCTCCAGCTAGATTTAAACTTGGATGAATTCAAGTGCTCGGAGTCTAAAGTTCACTAATAGTAACAATTGGTGTTTTGAGAATTTCACAGAACAAACTCACTAGTCACCAGTATAGAAGCCAAAAACATACATTCATCAGCCGAAATAAAACCTTAATTACATTTGCACCCTTGCAACTCGAAGGAAAACCAGATCTCTGATGAAGCTTTGCAGGGATATCCTACGTTCCAAAATGTTCCAGAGTTTTTTCCGAAATACAAAGATATTTGTCCATTCCGCTAAGTTTTAGAATTACGAAATCTTCGAATATCCACTTTTTATTTGTCCAAAATTTTAATTACTAATTTTCATATCAGAATAAATCTGATAAACACAAATATGATCGATCCTTCCTCAAAACAACAAAACGTGCTCCAACAGAACAACATTTACAGGCTGTTTCGTGTATAACACAAATGTGCAAACTGAAAAGACTTGAACTCTTCGTAATTATAATAGAGGGAGAAAATTCAAACATCCCTGCCTTAGTCAATTAGCCAGTGTAAATTAAAAATTTAATATGGAAAATAATTTAGAGAATACACTCCCAAGAATCCGACCGCTGATTTTTTTTATGCAGATTAACTGCATAATAAGGAATTCCCAAGGGTTTCCGAGCCTCAGAAAGGATTCAATCAATTAAAAATTTGGTACATTAGCATACCTGTAGCTGTAAAATGTTCAGATCTGCTTCGATCCGTTGCATCTTTAGCTCGTACGCATCCTTTCTTCCTGAAAATTTTCACATATTGACATCACTATTCAGGTGAAAATAGATCTGTCTCACATGCTCTACTAAGTCATACATCTGCAATCGTGAAATTACTAGCCCAGCAATCACAATTACTAAAAACTATTCTGTCACACTTTGATCATGTTCCTTTCTGCATGGTTGAATAAATTGTATTTATCCCATTTTATATATGTTTTATCTCTAATTGAATCAGTGCATGTACTTTTTTATTGTCAGAAATTTATACAGAGTTTTTTTTCATTAAATTCTTGGTCATCGCCCAGCAAGATATTTGAGAAAAATGCATTTAGACGGTATTTGTAGCTGTGAACACCACATTCTTGGCAGCAATAAGTGGAAAGGGGGACCACTTAGATTCAATATCTCATCATACTACTCACAGACAAGCATGTATAGTTTGCAAAAAACATATTTTCTAACATGAGACACTAAGGCAGAAAAAGGATATACTACAGGTGGGCAAAATACCTGCCATTGCAGATATTTTTGCTAAATTCAGAAAATGCTTTCTGTTCGCCAAAGTTAATTGACGCCCCGAGCTGCTAGATTCAGTATCGTCAATAGTTGAAATTGATGCATCATCCTTAGAAAGAGATAATGCATGTAAAGTTTCGGAAGCTGAGGAAAATTGATGAAGAAACACTTCATGAAGCCAGAGAAGATCTGGATGCTGCTTCAGAAATGTAGCTAGCTCAGCCTGGAACTCCTCGCCCAGCCTTATAAGCTTCGAAAACTGTTTGCTTTCGTAGAGTTGTTTGAAGACAAAGCAACTGAAACCTCCTCTAGGACCCATACTTTCTTGCTACAAAACAAAAGGTTTTATTTTGAGTAAAAAAAATAAGGTGCACAGAAGATTGAGCAATTAGAACATTACGTGCAAAATGACCCATCACAACTCTGGAATACTAATGACAAAAAATATATATACATATATTTTTGTAAAGTAAACGAAACAGCATCCACAACAAGTAGGCCCAAGCCTTTGCCTCTGTAAGCAGTGGGGTTGCACTAACGGTAACTTAATAGTATTTAGTCATACCATGAGACTTTGAAGGAGTTCAGAATGATTCAGGTCACAGCAAATGCTCCACATAGTTTGATACCCCTCGTGACGCTTTGCAATAGATAATAGCTTTGAAGAAAGTTTCATGAGAGTATCCTTGTTCTGTTCTTCGTTTTCCACAGCTGAATCCTGCAACATTACGAATGTATTATGGATGTGATCCACATATATTCCTCCATATCGAAGAGTATATATTTCTTCCCTTCAAGCAACAATGTTTACAAAGATGTATAGTTAATGTTGGGAAGTGGCCTATTTCTAGATTTTCGTTTTCCAAAGTGAACTATACATAGTACTTTCATCCATGCACTAGCTATTATATATTTACATTTCAACTTAAACTTTAATGTTTCAATAAACAACTATATATTGGGCAACTATAAACATTAGATGGTGTAGCAAAAGAATGCACCAAGGTTGGACTTCCAAATTAATGGTCTATTTCCTAAAACACCATCTCACTGATAGTAATGATGTGGAGTGTTGACTCTCTAACAACATATATGACAATATTTTTTAGAGCAATAAAGTTAAGTCGTAAACATATTAAAGACATTCCCTTTTTTAATTATAATCTAAAACTACATTGGCAGTTCCACTGTATACTTAAGATGGGACATGGATTGGAAAGTAATACATAAAATCATCAAGATGGAAGAGGATCATATGGTACGAAAAGGTTCAACTATTCTTGCTATTTCCGAACCTCGTACGAAGCTTCTACCAGGGAATTTAATTATTAAAAAAAAAAAAAAAGAAAAAAAACCAACCTGGAGTTTTGATTGGACAAAAGATTTCACTTGTTGATAAAGGGAGTCAAGAAGGACATCTCTGCGGTTCCAGTATTCCTCTAATAGAGTCCTGTGTTCTTCCTTTCGTTCAATTTTTGCTGTGATAGCAGTAGAATACGACTCAAGTAATACTTCCGAGAGGACTTCAAGATTCGAATAAAAATCAACCCTTGCAGAATCATCAAGGCGATTTGTTTCATTGAGCAACTGAACCATGAATGACGCCAGAGTCCAGAGCCCACTCCACACAATGTTTTTGGAGTACCATGGTATCAAGCCCTCGGGTGGAGGATACCACAAATGATGCTCACTCCTATATTCGATGGCTGCACGGAATAACGTCACACAAGCATCTGAGAGTTCACAAGAACTTTGAAATTGAACAAGAATCGGCATATCTATACTGATGACATATTCAAGCTGTCTCTCTAAGCAATGGAATACTTCCTCAATGTCGGAAACTTTACTATAAAATACTTCAGAGTTATCCCTATCCATCAAAAGAACTGTGTTCCGGCGAGCTCTCTCACCGACTAACTGGATAAGATCCCAAAGAGCTCCTGAAGTTCGAGCATCTGACGCATGATAAGAGCCAGATCCGGATGCATTGGCATGACTAATCGTGTTTTGCAGTTCTCTCAGTTGGATCATGCCGGCAAGCCTTTCCCCATGTTCCATGATAATTTGCATAGATTGCCCTGGTCAGTAAACAATTATTTAGATTTGATAGTAGGTTTATAATTAATCAGCAAATGTGGAGAAACGTTTAAAACAGCAGCATTTATGGACAATCAGAAGTCTAGTGCATATACACAATACGGATTATTTTAGCTACTTCATCAAGTCAGTGACAGGTCAATGGTTAAACAAACTGAGAAAAAAATCTGACTGTTTTGGGCATGAAAATTAGAACATATTAAGTACCACCTTATAAATGCAAGCATCCTTAAGATTCTGTAGATTAATAATATCAGAACAAAGTAACCAGATATTCATAATAAAATAACATCATGGAAGGATAGCCAGAAACTAAATATATTGGAAACAATTGACATACTCTGGTGGGAACACAATTCCTCATGGCATTTGGACAAAGCAAGGAACTGAAGGAACTTTTGATGCTTCTGTTGCTTCTCTGCAAGTTGTGTGGACACAACAGACAAAGCAATCTCAGGGCCCCTGGTTGTTGTCCAATGTTTAGCTAAAGTGTCAACAATTGATTTGCTTGTCCTGGTAAATACATTTGTTTCGCCCTCTCTTTCAAATGCTCTTGAATTTCTAAGTTTGTCAAGTGCGCCATCAACCTTCCCAGACAAGAGAAAATCATGGAAAAGCTGACTCAGTAAAGCTTCTGATTCTTCATCTTGAGGGCTTCTACGCACAACTCCAGCCATGCTCGTCCTTTGCCTATCTCCTGCATCCCAAGCTTCTGAATTGGCTCTTCTTGGAGCAATGTTTCCGGCACCAGAGAAGTTTCTTCTCTCGTCCTGTAAAGGTCCATCATTAGAACTCCCTTTACGAGACAAGCTTCTTTCAGGTGGTTCAACTCCACCCATTAAGACAGCCCTCTCAGGTATAGCCCAAACTCCAGCTTTCTCTGTGAGTACAACCCAAGCTCCATCTTCACTGTCGTCTGCCGATGGGAATACTGAAGCATCAAGAACTTTTCCAGCATCATAAGGCAGATCAAACTGATGGAGTCTGGTGGAGTTTCTCCAATAGTGGGAAACAGTTGCAGTACCATCACCTGAGAGAATCATAGCAGAGCCAGCTGGCTTTCCACCTACCTTTAATCTCATTGAGAATAAAACATCTTCATCCTCTACTCTAGCTTTAGGTATAATCACTTGGATAGGAGCCTTTTTCTCCAATATGTTTTCACCTATTGGCTTCGCAATATCTACTCCAGATTTATATTGCATGGTCAGCAGAGAGTATTCAGTGTAGCTTGAACTGGTGACCCCCCGATCCTTGCAAAAGATAGCAATAAGAATAGTTATAACCTTGCCATCACAATCAACATCCAAATCAAGAGGCCAAATTCTCTTTTGTCCAGCAAGATCCTTCTGAATACCCAAATCACCGTCGGTGCCAACAATTTCATGTGACCAAAGCTTTGACACGTCAAATTCAGAAAAAAAAATTACTTCAAAGCACTGTATCTCGTGATTAGTTAGTAGAAGGAACTGTCTCGTGGTGTCCGATGATGAATGACTAAAAGAGTGCCAGATCAATGACCTTGGATAACCCTTGCTTGCCACAAGTGTGCTATTATCACTTCCTTGATAAAATATATTTGACATGCCATGCTCAATCTGGTCACAATGAATACCAGAAGGGCGGCAGAGAAATCTCCAAAGCATACCATTCGAACAACATGCAATAGCAACACAACTGTTGGTGGCAGCAGGAATTGCTGAGGCAATCAAAGAGTTGACAAAACAAGATTTTGCACCATTGTTGCCAATTTGCCTCTGCTTGCTTGAGATGGATTTTCCATTTTGTCGTGGATAAATCACTTCTACCTCCGAAAAAGCAGCCGAAGTGACTGGAGGGACCCTGTTAGCATTATGTATATCTGGCCAGAAAATTAGAGAGCGAGTTTTTCTGTTACACATAACAATCCCTGCAGAATTGGTCTGTTGAGCAACACTGATACCAGTTTTCTTTGAGGTGTCCCAGTTAACAATACAGACTAACCAATTGTTAGTTTGATACGAACTTTTGTCCGTGTCTCCACTTTCTGATATGCAAGAATTAAGGTCAAGGACAATACATTTTCTTGAAGCAGCAGGTAATAAGTAATTCCAGACAAAGACCCTGTTTCCACAGATAATCCACGCTAGAGATGTTACCTTGTCCATTCCACCAGAGATAGATGTATCAGCTGCCAGATGGACTAATATTAAAATCTTTAGAAAGAAATTGAAACAAATCTAACCATATTATGTATTTTGGGAATAAGTTGGACCAACCAGAAACACGATTTTGTGATAGCGTGATTTGCGCTTCACGTACTATTTGAGGGAACTCCCCAACATATACAGGCTGAACAGCATCTACCTCATCTCCTCTGTCACTTCTCTTTGCAGGTGTGATTCTGAAAAGACAAGCCAACGTCAAATCAAACAAAGGCATGACACAGTCTTTCCTTATCTTTTTTCATGTTTCCACATCTACAATCTACCATGCATTCTCAACAAAATCAACAAAATTAAAGGATGATACAATAGCATCCAAACAGACAACCAACATCCCCTGGAAGGATTTAGGAAGGTTATTACTGTAACAAATTTGCATTAGAAATTTGTGGTAGAATATCCAGAAAAGCAGATTCAGAAGGCCAAGTAATAACGAAATTTGTGACCTATTGCTCTAGTCTCTCCGAAC